TTGGCCTGAGAATTATGACTCCCTGGTCGGTTTGGTGCCTCTGGGCGATTATGACTGATTAGGGCTGGCTAGACACTCAGTTGGAATGGAAGGACTCTACACTTAATTGTAGATGAAGGACTTTGGCTCTGAAAAAGGTATGTTGGGATCAAGTAGTAGAGGGCCTTACATGCCGGACTAAGGGATTTATACTTTGTTTTATTGTCAGCAGGAGACAAGTAAGATGTTTGAGCAGAGGAATAATTTAAGGCATTTCATCTGTGTACATTTCCTTTGCAGCATGAGAACTACCACCAGGGAAAGAAAGGAAAAGAGAAATCTGAGCCTTCATTCATGTAAGAAAGGGTGACTACTGCCAATTCCTTTGTGTGACAGGGTCTAGTGTCTTTGCACAGCACCAGTAGTCCTTGGGGAGAGGTTGCTGGAATGAGGAACACAGGCTGAGGTGGCAGAGCAGAGCCCAGTGGTGGGCTGGAGAGGTGGCAGGTAGGGTAGATGTTAAATTATATTTTCAATTACATCCCTGTTTCAATGCTCCTTTTGATCCTCAGCAGAATCAGAATCATTGTGAATCTCAGTTGAGCAGTGGTGAGGCTCTAACAGCTCTCTTAACACTTGCTAATCTCCCCTTTGACAAAGAGAGAGAAGGCCACAGGCTTAGAGCCCCAGGCAGGTGCTCTATTCTGTCTCTGTAATTTAGCAACCAGGTGTCCCAGTCTATCTAAATTTATCTGGTCCCTAAGTTCCAGGGGGCTAAATTAGGGAAAATTTGTGCTTTCTATTTTCAACAATTGATGTTGGTTTTCCATTTACACTAACAAATCAGAGTTTGCTTCTTCTATAAATCTGAGTAAAAACATGAGATGGTCCAAAGATGGATGTTAATAATAACAACCCAGATAGAAAGGGAGACAGACAGGAAATAACATTGTGAAAGGATATACAAATAAATGATCTTCAGGAACACTACTGGGTCATTTCTAGAATCAGGAGGGCCAGGATTCAGAAGCTCCAGTTTTGGGGCTTAGTATGTCTCTGGTCCATAAATTGGGGTCTCCACCACATAATCTATAACATTCTTTTTAGGTCTGAAATTCTATGTTTTCCATGACACTATCTCTAAAATACAAGTGCTCCCCAGGAGCTTGATTGTACGTGGTTATTCACCAGGGGTCGAGACTGAGAGAGGTTGTGGACAGTTTGGGGTGGGGGGCTGAGATCAGGAGGTGAGGGGATGTGGGGGTGGCTAACCCTGACGTCTCTGCGGTGGGACTCCCAGCTCCCAGTCTCAGGTTTTCTAAAACCCTGCAGGGCAAGAACACTTTAGGGAAGGTGGGCCCTAGCATAAAAATCTTTCAAGAAAAGAAAAGAAAACAAAACAAAACTAAGGAAAGCCAAAGCAAGCTAAGTAGCTTTGTAGTTAACTAAATTATCCACACTTTCAATTTTTTATTGGAGGGGTTTTTTTTCCTTTCCTAACAATGATTTGTCAGGGAACACACAATGAATCCTACTTAAAGGGCTTTTGTTGCTGATTTATATGACCAACATGCAAAAATACCTCCCCAGTTGTCCCCCCTCCCCCCCAAAAAACCCCAACCAACCAACAAATGAAAACTTAGTACCAAGTAATACTGTTGTATCGATTATTTGGGAGAAGGCTTCTGGCTCTCCAATCTGTGACTTTCAAATACTAGGATATATAAGAATTGCCCCAGAGGGAACTTGATAAAAATGCAGGTCCCTGGGCTCCAGCATCATGGGGTGGTGGTCTGGTTGCTGATGTTCTGCATCCAGCATTCCTGCGTAGGGTAGGTTGTGAAGTCTCTCGCCAGGGCCATCCTTCGTGTTGTAGCATGAACTCCCACCCCTCTACCGTGTCACTTTTCACTCTGACTTCCAATGAACGTCAGGGTTAGCCCGATGGGATTAATATCGCAACAACGGGGTAGAATAATGTAGTTATCCAAGGCTCTACGTTCAGGTTGTTCAAAAATCTATCCTCAAGTCCCAATTTTCTAGATATGTTAGGTTGGACAGGTTGCTAACTCTCCAGTGTTAATTTTCTCATCATTAAAATGGGAACCATGACAAGGTTCATTGAGTTAAACCACATAAAGCCCCTGGGTTGAGGTAAACATTTAACGAAAAAATCAAAAGTAAAGGATATGGGAGGTGTTAAAGTGGAGCTTGGAAAAAGAAAATAACCAGTGTTGGTGAGGGTGTCAAGGCATTAAAACCCTTATGCAGTGTTCATGGGACTGTGCAATGGTGTAGCTGTTATGGAAAAAAATATTCTCAAAAGTAGAGCTTGATTTCACAGGTTGTGATGGCCAGAGAGAAAGGAATCTCATCCTGTTCTTGCTAACTTCTGTGGCTCCCTGATTCCCCAAGTCGCAGTGAAAGTCAAGTGGCTCGGAAGATGGGGCTCCAAAGCTTGGGTCCCAAGCAGGAGAGAATAGTGGTTCTTAGCTGAGTATTCACACGTCAGAGGTGGCTCAGTGTCAAGTTGCTGGGCAGCTGGTGATATCATGGAACTCAAAGCCAAGTGTTCCATCCACAGGTCTGCCATGACTTCGTCCTGGGCTGTTCTTAGCACACCATTCTCTGGGTAGCCTCCAGCACTCTAGGGTGTTGGCTGAGGCCTCCTAGAAATGGTTTTACGAGACTGACTCAGCAAACTAGGGGTTGCTGCTTTCCAGAAGGCTAGCACGACTTTGTCAGCACATTGCTTAGGGTTCTGACATATACCCTGCTTTTTTTTTTTTTTTCCAGGAGCCTCCTGGTTTGTGCACAAATAGTGTAGGCATGAAGTATGTGAAAGGAATTCCTCTTATCCTTGTTCTGCACCTTGACTTTGACAGAGATGTTAGACCTGTCTCCCAGGGCTGTGTCTGAGTCCCAGGGTGGGAAATGAACCTGTTTGAGTCCTTATAAGGTTTTGTTTCAGTTGTAAACTCTGTTGACAAGGAAATATGGATACATTCAGAGTAAAATAAGAGAAGATTTTCCTACACAGAAGACAGCTGCTGAGTCCTCCTGGCATGGTGAAGAGGAGCAAGAAGTCTGGCTTCCCCATCTCTCCCTTTCTTCCCTTTACTCCAATTACTGGGTTCTCCAGGAAAGGATGAGGAAGAAGGGAACACAGTACTGTAGAGCAGAGAATTGCCTTTTTGGGGGTGTAAAACTGGATGCTTTAAAAAATTAATATTTCGAAAGTTACCTTCCAGTCTTAGAGTCCAACTTTATAAATGTCTCCTGAATAGGAGGGAAATGCTTGTTCTGGTTTCCAAAATGAGCTGTTAATTTCAACCCTAATAATGACTGTGCTGAGGGGAGGAGGTGTTAAAAAGCACACACAGTGTGCGGTCAGGGAGGGATTCCAGGACAGTCTGGTGCAGTCAGGAGCCGCAGCTGTGCGTGGACACCAGAAAGATGGTTCCTGCAGCTTTGCAGGTGCAGCTCCGATGTGGGGCTGTGTGCAGCTTGCAGCCTGGTGCAGGATTTGGGGCCCCAGGAGTGAGGTCACCCAGGGACAGACTCACCCTGCTCTCTGCCCAGCTCAGTGTGCGGAGAGGAGGAAAGCACTCGGGGACTGCGCACAGCAGGGCAGTGTGGGAGGGAGGTCAGGTCTCGGCCTGTGGTCACCTGCCCAGAATGACGTCACTCACCTGGCACGAGGCAGCGACTCACTGGCCTCTCAGGGAGCAGCACCCCCTCTGGTGGAGCCCATAGCCCCAGCCAGAGATGCTGAGCTGACCCAAGTGTTAATGGTGGACACCCAGCCATCGGGATCCATTCATTTTTCAGAGCCGCTCAGTGAAGCCAGGTGAGGTGGGGAGGCCCAGGCTGGGTGACGGCAACTTAATGAGAAGACACTGACAATCACAATCACACGTTAAATGGGCTGCTGTTGTGGCTCAGTGAGAAGGTCCTGAATTTAATCCCCAGTACTGAAAATACGTTTTACTGATTTGTAAGGACCTCAGTCCATGGGCAGGGCTGGACCATACACCCCCAGGAACCTCCAGGCTCTGCTGTCCAGGATGCTCTGTGGTTTCATATTTTAAAAGTAAAATTTAATAGAGATGGAGAGAATGTTTGTCCATCTCCAAGTAGGCAGGCTGGGGCTGTGCTGTCCCGTCCCTCTGCCCTCTGAGCGGAGACGGACAGCAGCCAGAGCAGCCTGTCCCCGGGTGAGCCCCAAGACCTGCGGAGCTGATGTCCGGGAGGTCACCTGGAGCTCGGCCAGGATGGCGTGCTCTGCCCTGCAGACTCCGCAGAAGGAGCCCATTGCTGGCCCCACTCCTGTGACTATGACCAGAGTCTCCGCTGCCAGGCTTCCACCCTAAAAAGCAGCATTGATGACACAGACACCGGGGACCCTGGAACCAGGAGGGCAGAGGCTGCTGAGCCAACCATGTCCTGAATGTGTGCGGTTGAGCTTGACAGGCCAGGTCCCCACACAAGTAATGAGATGGTAGGAGAGCTGAGACCTGGAGCACCCCCTCCCAGCAGGGAAGACACAGCCTGAACCCCAAGATGCAGACAGAGAGGGGGCGCCTAGGAGAGGCCACAGCCCAGTGGATTTCCTGCGACGGTGCCCTTCGCCTGTCCTTCATTCAGACTGCACACGTTATCTTACTGTGATAAATACATCCTGTCTGGCAACACAACCTGGATTACCTACTGAAGAAGCCAATGAAAAATGGCCAGGATCTTTCTAGGGTTTCTCCTTCTGCATAGCGCAAGATTCATCAGACCCCCTCAAGACTGTGTGACCAAAGGCAAGTCTGACTGCACTGGTGTGAACCCTGCAGGCCAGGTGCCCATGGGGACACGAGAGGAGCAGTGGCCAGGGGGGTGGGCAGGAGCCACCAAGCACAGTGCTCTGCGGATAGGTGCATACAGGGCGAAGGCACTTCAGGGCACCACGCTGACCCTTTTAAACACTGAAATTTTAAGTTTTATTAAAAGCTAGTTCTATTATTTATATAAATTCAAGAAATAAGGACACTTGTAAATACCAAAACAAGAGCCAGCGTAAGTGAGGGGAACAGTGGGAGGAGGCCAGGAGCTGGCCCCAGGTGGAGCTCAGGAGGTGACACCGACCGCTGTGCAACCACCGGGTGCCCCAGCACTGCAGCAGGTGAAGGGGCTGCCACGGACTCTGGCTGTGGTCCCAGCGCTGGGCAGGAAGCTGCAGGTGGAGCTGGCTCGGGCTCTGCACATGGGACTTCAGCTGGGGCTGGAGCTGGTCCTGCAGTTCCAAGAGAAGAAAAAGTCACCAACTGTCCATGTTCCCTTCCAGGGCAAAACCCCCGCACTGCCCATCAGACAGCTCTGCGCACAAAGCCTCCCCAGGAAGTCCTCCCAGACCATGACGGCTGAGGTCTCAGTGATCCCAGGTCACCCCAGCACTGGGAAGCTGTCTCTGTGTCTAAAGGCCCATCCCTCCCCTCATGCCCATAGGCCCACACCCCGTCCTCACCTGTGGGCTGTGCCTCAGTGGGCTCAGCTTGCTCCAGCTGGGAGGTGCCCTGAGGTGACACGGCAGAATAAAGCCATGACAGGATGGAAGTGACCCAGTGTCCTGTGTGCAGCTCTTTGGGGACAGTGCCTGGGAGCTCTGCCTGACCCCAGTTTGTGCTGTTTCTGCCCCGGCTAACCCTGTGCTCCTGAAACACAAACAGCTCTGTCTCAGGCTTCTACCCCAGAGGACAGGAGAAGGCCCTGTGGGCTGCGGACCATCCCTGGGCACTGCCCTTCTCCTCCTCTCAGCCCCGTCCTGGGGGCACAGGCCAGGGCCCCGGCTCACAGCCTCCCACACCTGCCCCTGCCCAGGAGGAGCCTCCCTCCCGGCCTCATCCTCTACCCTCCTCAAAGTGAGGAAGGCGGGCGGGAGTTACACAGGGGACTCACAGTGGTGGCCGGGCCTGACTGGACCTGTCCTGGACTCAGTGGCCCCAAGAGTCTGGAGTCCAGGTCCAGGGAGATCTGCCCTGGGCTCCCACTCATCTCAGATTCCCAGGTCTCTGGGTCTGGGGAGACCCGCCCTGTGCTGCCCCTGAAGTCCAAGCAGTTCCTGGTGAGTGGCCTGAAGCACGGGGACTTAGCCATCCATCCTCTCACTGGCGCCCAAGTGCTTTCCCTGCACGGGCTCCTGCTGCTTCGGCCTCGAGGCCCGGGAAAGCAGCACAGCATGATCGCTGCTGACTCTGTCCAGCCAGGTGACTGTCAGGCAGCCGTCGCTGGACTGTGGTGCCCAGTGACTCCAGGGTTCTGAGCTCTGTTTGGACTTGTCACCAAGGAAGTGAGGTCACAGTGCTAGGGTCATAAGCCAAACCGCCCCCTCTGATGAGAAGGCCCCGGGGCCCCTCCCTTTCATGGTGGAGCACATCTATCTGTGTGCTCCTTAGAAACAGCAACGAGAAACCAGAAAAGCTGCCTGTGATGTTAGAGTTTGATGAATCAGAAGTTTTAATTCGGCACATGTGTAGATGCTTAAGATGCAGCAGGCACAGGGAGAAGTGTGCTTTCCCATCTGAAGGGTCCATTCTCTCTCAAGACACAGTGCTCATGTCAGCACTTAGAGATCTGATGGATTTGAGGATGATTTTCTTTCCTGGGTTAACTTCAGTTGCCTTGCGATTCCAATAGGGACTATGGAGATGATCCCAAAATGTCCAATATAATTTTCTTTAAAGGATACAAAAGTTTCAGCTGATAACCCCTGGGTGGCCAGGAGTGGAGGATTCACAGCAGGTTGTAACTTTCAAGTGCACATGGATAGCTGCTTAAGCACAGATACCGAGCTCAACACCTAGTGCAGTATGCAGTGCAGAGACAGTGCGAGGGGACAGCAGTCAGTCAGTCTTTGTGAAACCTCCCACCCAGCGGGGGTGCAGAACACTCTCACGCATCACTTGGGAACGTCTCTTGGGGCGCTGCTATCCCCTCCTGTCCTCACATCCCAAGCTGACCAAGTGCTTTTTGTCCCTGGTGGAGTAGAGAGGGTGGAGCTGGAACCATTCGGTATAAATGTTTCCGGCAGGTCTTCTTCAAGCAGTAACACCAGGCTGGGATCCCTGCGCGCTGCTCCTCCTCAGTGGTGGCACCGTCATGGGAGTGGAGCACAGCTGTCCCGCATCCTCTGCTGATGGCCATGCATTCGGCTCCCAGGGTTGACCACTGAGCAGTTCCCACCAGCATCACTCAGGCAGGTGTCTTTTCAACCATGGATTCTTCTTCCAGGAGACACACTTGCATGTCTGTTTATTTGCTTTATATCACTATTTTTGGCCTACATTTTTATTTACAACATTTCATTCCCCTTTGATGTTTCTAATGAAATCTAATAATAAATTCGGGTTATTATCTTTAAAAAAAAAAAGCACACGCAAGCCAGGAAGTTGTGACCTTCTAGAAGCCGGGAGCCACACCCACCTCCTTTGAGGCTTTGTCCTCTGGCCACCAGGTCACACTGCCTCCCTGGAGCTCTGTGCTTCTTTCAGCCCACTGTCAGTCCAATATGAATCCAATAAGGGGCCTCCCTCTGAGTCACCAAACAAACTCTGACTCCTGATGCAGAACTCTGACCCTAGCCAATAATAGCAATGTCGTAACATGTTCTAGATTTGCCTCTTAGGCCCTTGGTTTGCTTTCCCCACCTGCCTTTAATTTTTGTCCTTACCGCAAACTGATAGAGCTAGGCATCAAAGACTTATTAGATGAGTGTGCCCAATAGAACTGAAATGTTCAGTCCATCCAATTTAGCAAATTCTAAATAGCTACCTTCAACTAAGTTCAAAGAATATCATTGTTCCTAAGTTGCCTTCTTAAAAAAACTACAAAAAAAAAAAAAAACCTCCTTTGGTTAACTGAATCAAAACAGCCACTTGAAGAGAATATAATAAGGTATTTTTTGAAAAATGGAAAATGCAAGAAAATTTAAAGTTAACAGAACATTTTCAAGTGGTAATTTAAGTTTTCACAAAGGCTTAGGGCTGGTCCTTAATCTGATGTCATTGAAATATCCCTGGTTTAAACATAAGTACTTTAATTACTAGTTAGGGGAAGAAAAACTTTCTTTCCCAGGCTGCAGCAATAGAAACCTTTCTGTTAGATTCCTTTGATTACAATAGCTCTTTGTTAACAGATTGTAACTTTGCCCCAGGAGTGGTGATAAACTCTTAAAGGTGAGAAGAAGACTTGTCCTTCCTGGGAAGGGAAGCTGTTCATTGCTAAAATGGATTGGAAAGAAAATAATGTCTAGCACTTAAAAACTTTATTCTTATTTGTCTTTATGTGCCTGAGAAGTCTGACAAAATCAACAGTAGTGTGGAAATAATGTAAAGCCCAAACAGTCCTCTAGCATGGCTGGATTTTCCACCCCAGTTGAAAGGATTATTCAAACTTGTTGCTTGGAAACCTTTCCCAAGTGAGAAAATATCGTTATCTTTAGGTGTGTCCCTGGAAGCTCAAAGCAGAAGTTTGGTGATTATGGGATTCATTTGGTCAAGTAAGACATCAGAGGAAAAAAATATATCCACTTTGGAAGATGTATATTAGCTAGCCTGGTTTTACAATGGTCACGTTAAAGTACCTAAATCAGTCTTTCACATGGAGGAAGGTAAGTAATGGTGGTTGGGCTTGTCCAGGCATCACTTCATCAGAGTGAAATATATAAAATAAAATAAAATAAAATAAAATGCAATCTAAGCATTATCCTTTGATAATATTTCAGCTAAAGAAATCCTAGGGATCAAAACTGAGAAGAAACTTGAAAGATGATTCCATTTCCTCCCATTTTACAATCAAAGAAGCAGAGGCTCAAGGTTATATATCCTAGTTGGTCAGGATTAGAATCCAGAACTACTTGTTTGTTCACCAGAGCTCTTTAGAGCCCTGCCGTTCCCTTGTTACAAATGCATTGAGATGCACCACAAGGAGATGTTGACTGGCAAATCCTGTTGTCCCTTCTGAAAACACTTCTGTGTGCTCTTCCAATCCCATTATGATAGTGCTCTAGGGGAAAACAGCACAATGGAAAGGAAACAGAAATAGAAAGTGAAGGATTAAGAAAGATTTGGACAAAAAAGCTAGAGAAGGAGCCCAGGGAAGTAGCTGAGCCAGAGCTAATGGGTTTCATTCCACCCAAAATAGGAAAGGAAGAGCCCAGGTCCCTTCCTCTGTCCCCCACCCTCGTGCCAACTGGTTGCTAAGTGTTTCTTCCACACTTCATCTCCATTTCTCCCTACAGCGGATGAGTGTTTTCATTCCTGTTATGCCTGAGAAAGTTCCAAAAATACACAGAGAAAGTCGGGTTATATGGTATTTGGAACTGGCCCCAGAACAGAAATTCTATAAAGGAGCTTGTTTGCAGTGCTTGTTTGCCAGGATCCAGCACCATTGTGTAGACTTGGAGTTTGAAATAAGCACTCGAATGTTTATGTTTTGTTTCAGCCAGTCTCAGACATTTGAATGTTTCTCATTGGCTGGTCCAATTTAATAGTAATACTGCAGGTAAGAGCCCATAGGAGTTGAATCTTGGCTGGATTTAACTGTGGGCAAGTTTTAAAATCACTATTGGCTCCAGTTTTCTTACCTGCAATTGGAATAATAATAATAATATACACCTCTTGGGGTTAATGAGCGGTAAAGTAATGCCAATAATGGGATCACCACAGTATGTGGCACAGAATCAGAGCTCTGTCACAGTGATTGGCACCATCATCGGCTTGTCACCTTGTGCCAGGGCTGGACCTGCATCTGTGCTTAACAAACTGTTAACCCAAATTAGGGGGACTTTGAAATCTAGATGTTTCCTCCATTTTGTTGAGGGCATAGAAAACAATATTGAGTGCTATTTGATTTCCTTTTGTTACCTATTCCTGAAGCATTTGGGCAGAAGTAGAGTCTGGGGTCATGCCAGGGCTGTGCCTGCTGGGGATAAACTAGTTTCAGGTCTAATGCATTGTCTCAGTGATGGGGCAGGGTCTAGGGAAGGGATGAGCAGAGTTATTCACAGTAAGATTCTGAGGTACATTATGGGCAAAGCCAAAGGTCTTCGTGGAAACTGGACCCTTATTACCTGTAATAGGGTCCATTTTAAGTCCACAGCTCCTTCTGTCTGCAGATCTGTAAAGGTTTGTCTCCTGATACTCATGCATGGCACCACTGTAAAGTTCATGACACTTTCTTGGTGAGAATGCTTGACCATCTATGTATATACTCCCTAAGTATCAGGGATTTCTGAGAATCTGTCAAACCCACTTTATCATGCTTACAGTAAGACCTGGAATGCCACCTGTTTGGGGTTCAAATTCAGTGCTACCACTAACTAGCTGTGGATCTTTGTGAGTTGCTCATCTCTGTGAGGTCCACTGAGGATGCTTCAGTGGGAGCTGTTTTATCAGGAAACTTGCCCAGATGAGGGCTGGCTGAACAGTGGGATTGGAGAGCATGCTCAGACGCTGACATAGATGTTGATGGCATCAGCATTGACACTGGGTAGTCAGCGGGAGCAGGTTACAGTCAGGAGTGCTTGCATAGTGACTTCTGAGAATCGTGCATGATCTCTAATTCTGCAAGAAAGGTAGATCCAAACAGGTATTTTAGTAGCTTTTCCAAAAAGCGACAGAGGAGTCTCAAATACAGGCTGCACTATCTGTTTGGTTTTGCAAGTTATCATGACATAGTACAAATTCCTTGACTTCTTTGGTCCTTGATTTTCTTGTGTATAAAATAGGGACGACAGCTGATTCCCTGCTTACCCACAGGGTGTTGTGGGACTCAAAGTCGTTTGTTTGAAAGCACTTTGTAAAGTTATTGCTCAAGTGAAACACATTCATAAATTTTTCCTTACCAAAGGAGATAACAGAATAATCCATATTTTACTTCCCTCTACCATCTTTCCCAGTGTTCCTCATCCTTTCTCCTTATCACCACTTACTCAAGAAGAGGGCTTTGTTCTCTGTGGTGCAGTATAAGGAGATGAGTTGAAAGAACATGATATTCAGAGGACTCCTCAGTGGGTGAGGGAAGGAAAATTCTTTTTTAAATTATACTAGATAAAAGGTGAATAAATGATTAAATTGAATTTGATGTTTATGGTCAGAAGGATGTTTTACTTTTTGCTAATTATGTTAAAGAAAAAAAGACAAAAATTAGCTGATTTGATGAGTTATAGTACAGAGTTGGGGTTCAAAGGAAGGCAGTGATGGAGATTTGCAATTGAAAAAAATCAACAGGCAAGATTAAAGTCTGGAAAACGCCTGTAGAA